GTTTAGATTGAATGGTAATTTATAATCAGTCACAAGAACGTCGAATCTGAATCACTTGAAAAAAACACGGGGGTGCTTAACTTTTTTCCAGGTGTATATAAACAATGAATCAACTACAATAGTAAACGGAATGTAGCAGCGTGTTTCAGATAGTGGCTGTTTAATAAACAATGGTTCAACTACAATAATAAACGTATGGTTTAATATGGAACATGATATTCACTTGTGACTTGAAATAACGTCACGTTACGAAGATATTATACAAACATATATGGTGAACATGATTTATGTGTGTCTCTTTCTTGGTTATTTTAAGTAGTATATTTGTAATAAGTGGAGAACAAACCCCAATTTTTTAATCAAACATACACATATACAAGTCGTTGGTCCAAAATGTACCCGTGTTGGTAAGAAAAGGGTTAACCTGGAATGATATTTATGGTAGCTTGAGGAGGTATCTGATATATTACTTAATATTTTTAACATGAGCGGCACCTTCTGTTACACATAGGCTAGTTCAAAGGCCCTAAAGTTCAAGCATAACCACACCTAAATTAGAACTGCTTACCAAATGAAGGGCAAAAAATCAACTGCATCCGCCGCTTTCACGGTTACTCCTGACCGAATAGCGGAACTGACTATCATTTTTATAACACCCGTACAGATAAAAGTACGGAACATGTTCAGCTGCATTTCGACGATTCAAACCTTGGACCTTCAACGCGGTTCTATTTAAATCTCTTTGCGTACATAATTCGAATGAATGTTTTGTGGAAGTTACTCACTTGCTTGTTTTCAGGTACTTCCGTTTATGTTGCTCACTTGCTTGTTTTCAGGTACTTCCGTTTATGTTGCTCACTTGTTTGTTTTGGGTAATTCCGTTTATGTTACTCACTTGTTTGTTTCAGGTACTTCCGTTTATGTTGCTCACTTGTTAGTTTCGGGTACTTCCGTTTATGTTACTCATTTGTTTGTTTCAGGTACTTCCGTTTATGTTGCTCATTTGTTTGTTTCAGGTACTTCCGTTTATGTTGCTCACTTGTTTGTTTCGGTTACTTCCTTTTATGTTGCTCACTTATTTGTTTTCAGATACTTCCGTTTGTGTTGTTCATTTGTTTGTTTCGGGTACTTCCTTTTATGTTGCTCACTTGTTTGTTTCGGGTACTTCCATTTAAGTTGCTCACTTGTTTGTTTCGGGTACTTCCATTTAAGTTGCTCATCTGTTTGTTTCAGGTACTTCCGTTTAAGTTGCTCACTTGTTTGTTTCGGGTACTTCCATTTAAGTTGCTCACTTGTTTGTTTCAGGTACTTCCGTTTATGTTGCTCACTTGTTTGTTTTCAGGTACTTACATTTATGTTGCTCACTTGTTTGTTTCGGGTACTTCCATTTAAGTTGCTCACTTGTTTGTTTCAGGTACTTCCGTTTATGTTGCTCACTTGTTTGTTTCAGGTACTCCCGTTTGACGACAACCTATGCGTCAGGGAACCGTGCGTGAATTTTGAAGAGTGTCTGTCTGTGCTGAAGTTCGGAAATGCCTCCGGCTTTATTACTTCTGACAGTTTACTTTTCAGGCCGATCTACCCCGTCAACACCTTCGCTTGCCGCTGTCCGGAAGGATTTACAGGTAAACATGTTTAGTGTCGGAATCGTGAGATGCATGCAAAGGAGTAATATGATTGGCTGATTTCTCGATGTCGTAAATAAACTAATCCTTATACCTAGCGTGTCTAGTTGACCATGCGTAGTATTAATATTACCTTCCGATTAGAGCGAGCTACTCACGTACAACAAAACTTAAAAATTTAACCTGGTAATTAGTATAGCTAATTAAATATGCTTTTATTTCGTTCTTACTTATAAATATTGGAATACATTGTTTCATCAGTTGGCTACCCTCATTGTTAATAAAATTTTCAGCCGTAATTCTAATAATATCTCACGAGATTCGGTCAGCTTTGGAGATTTAATTTAGTCCTAAGATAACAAACGTGTTATTAACGATACAGATATTTGGGGGGTCATGAAATGTGCGTGTACATCTAAGTTTCAAAAACGACTAATATGTTAAGTTTTCACTTTTGTCATTAAAATGTTTGTCATTGCAAATTATTAAAAACGAAACACCAAGATCAAGTGGTCAGTTTTTTAATTTAAGAAATTATTGACCCCTTTCCCCCAAATAAATAAGACAAAACAAGTAGTCTTAACACCTATTACTAACGATTTGTGGGTATACCCTGTTTTTATATGGTGGTTAGAAACTAGTAGCGTTTGGTGCCCATTAGGTGCAAAAATTATGCTATTTATACATAAACTTTAAAGTTGTGTATTTAAATTACTTTTTAATAAATTTCGAGGAAATGTTCACCCTGGTGGTATTATGTTAGTTCAGTGTAATTCTGATGTAAGGTGTGGCTTTTTAAAAATTAACCTAGAAGGAGACTGAAGGATAGAAAAACTGAGAATTAGTCACTTAAGTTAGTATTAATTTAATTCTTAACATATATATTAACATTCCTTAGAGAGATCCAGATACAGAGCTAGATGTAAACAAAAGAGGGCGTTCAAACGAAGTAACCTCAAGCTGTTTTCTTTGGCCAAACGTTTGTTTTTTTATTATTATTGTTCTCCTAGAAGGAGATCTTAAATAAAACGTGTGTTGTGAATCGATTTGTTACAGGAATGAACTACAAGTATGAGTGTGACACTGAGGTCAACTTATGCTACTCCAGCCCGTGTGGGAAAAACGGCAGGTGTATTCGCAGAGAAGGAGGCTATACTTGCGTCTGTCAGGAGGGTTTCACTGGTAGGTTTTGTAATCGTGTCACTGCAGCACCAGAATAATGCTGTATTTCTACTGTATTATGCACTGAAATAGTTCCTCTTTTTAAATTACTTCATAATATATTTTTAATTTACCTACTATTAATACTGAAAACCTTATACGAGCACTTGGGCATTGTGTTCAATTGTTTTGGTCTCATTTCTAATTTCATTACAACAGGATAAATATTTATGTTTCAAGATCTAGACTTCTGAAATTAGTTCCCTGTTATACCTTTGACTTCAAAAGCTAATTCTGTGTTACGATGTAGGCTCCAGAAACTAGTTTTGTATTATATTATTGATTATTGAAGCAAGTTTGTACTACAATTTACATTTTTAAAGCGAGTTATGAATTATTTTTAAAATTTTAGAAAATAGTACCGTTTTGTATTATAGACTTCTGAGGCTAGTTCTGTATAATATTCTATAGTTTGAAGCTAATTCTGTGTTATATTCTATAGTTCTATATCTAGTTGTGTGTTATATTCTACAATTCTATTTATTGCTATATTTTACAGTTATGAAGCTAATTTTGTGTTATATGCTACAGTTATGGAGCTAGTTCTGTGCTATATGCTACAGTTCTGAAGCTAGTTCTGTGTTATATTCTACAGTTATGGAGCTAGTTCTGTGCTATATGCTACAGTTCTGAAGCTAGTTCTGTGTTATATTCTACAGTTATGAAGCTAGTTCTGTGTTATATTCTACAGTTATGAAGCTAGTTCTGTGTTATATTCTACAGTTATGAAGCTAGTTCTGTGTTATATGCTACAGTTCTGGAGCAAGTTCTGTATTACATGCTACAGTTCTATTTATTGTTATATTCTACAGTTATGAAAATTGTTCTGTGATATATTCGGGAATTTTTGAAAATGTCTCTGCTGTAAACTTTAGGGTTTGAAACTAGTTCAGTCTTTAATGTAGAATTGTGAAAACATTCCCAATGTTCTAAAACAATTCTGAGATTTTCCAGTAATATTTTCTGTTTGCTTAACCTTTAAATTACTGATTTGCTTGCATACGGTTCACTATCTATGGGGCCATGTATACTTCACATTTATACATCACATTGATACATCACATGTATACATCACATTGATACATCCCATGTATACATCACATTGATACATCCCATGTATACATCACATTGATACATCACATGTATACGTCACATTGATACGTCACATGTATACATCACATTGATACATCACATGTATACATCACATTGATACATCACATTGAATAATTTTTATGCGTTTGCCTTTTGCAACACTCAGTGTAAAATCTGTCGAGAAAAATGATTGGAATCAACCATCTTCCTTGCCAAATATCTATGAAATCCAGAAGTAATTACAGGAATTAATTACAATACTGACGTTATTTTATTTAAATTTTGTGTGTAACTCATATGTTCTTTAGGACCCTGTAATAACAAAGTCATAAAGCCGCAAGTTGATGCATAAAGAGTTTATAGAAATGCAGGTAAGGTCCATATGAACCCAGAACCCCTATTGGTAACTTAGAGTCCGGAAGTTATATCATTTATTACAGTATATTCTTGAAGCCAGCATGTTGTGTGGCCTGGAGTTGGGTGCAGTAAGTAGTGTGAGTTTCGGAATGTTTTCAATATTAATTTTGACTTATGGATATAATTTCCATTATCTTATTATTATTATGTAAAATACGTGTTATTGAACGCCATGACTGAAACCAGTCGTATTAATCTAAATGAACAAGAGTACTTCCATATTTAGTTCAGTTATTAAATCCATTAAGTGTTAAACGTAATAAAGTAGATGCTGTAATACCTTAAGTAATGTTGCCAACCAAGTAATGAAATGAAATTGTGGTATTAGTTGTGTGTGAGTCTCAGAAAATGAAATTACTGCAGCATATATGTTTGGTTAGGAAAGCAGCCCCGTACTTTTGCCTGGAGTTCAGAACCAGTGAGAATATCCTGGAGCAATATTCGTTTTCTACGACACTGAATTTTCCCCTTCATTCCCTTCAACCGCGAAAAAACAATTCCTCGGGAAGTTTATGTCTTTACTTGGAGATTTTGATTTCGAAATGCTGCTCAAGCCTAACCGTGGAGTACTAGCGAATTCTCCAGGGATTACTGGCTGCTCCGAAGAAGGTGGATCTTTAATCCTTTCAGCTCTATTAGCTTGAGTGCCAAGAGGGAATTGCTTTGTCTTCAGCACCTGTTTAGATAGCCTTGCAGCAAAGCAGGGATTAAAGGAGAGGGGCGCGCCTCAGGAGCAGCCTCCCTCCCTCCTCTGGTATGCCTGAACTTCCACATTTTTCGTTGTGGTGTCGTACACTATATGTTGAATGCGTATGGATCGATGACTGATACAGCGGTTAAGACATGGAGTTTTCGCCGCCACCAAACTAGCCAATGATTCAGCATCAGAGGAATGTGTGTTTTAGACCGTGTCCACGAAATACGGATATCGCTGTAATAAATGTTATCTTTCTGCTGTGCGATAAAATACTACTTTCTTCTAAGTAATGAATCATTCCATACAATATATAGTATTACACGTACATAAAAGAATAGAAAATAGAGACGTGGGTGGAGACTGTAGTAGGACGAAGGAAGACAGATACAACACATTAATGTCTCTTTGTAGTAATAGCCTTTTCACCAGAAAATTCGGTAAGAGACGAAACTTGCAGGAAGAATTCCGATAACAAGCAGAGTGCCGTTTGTATCACACGTATTGGTTTAATTGAGTTATGTCTTCGTTTCCCAGACTTCAGAACATGTAGATTGTTGTCTGTCGTCATTATTTGCCTGTAGTATATATAATGATAGTTTGAAGTTCGACTCGTCACCAAGCACTCGTCAGAGTTCTTAATCACCTTACTTCATTGGTGAATTTCCGAGAAAGTTCGACTCGTGATCAGTCAATCTTCAAGAATTTTAGATCAACTTACTTCATTGAAGTGTTTTTTGAGGACGTTTAAATTGTCACCAATCAGGGGCGGAT